ATAAAAATTGATCTATTTTATCGGCTCATGTTTTGCTACTTTAGTCGCTGTCTTTGTATTTTATTTAGTCCCGTAATTCTGTGGTCATAACAGTAGCAAATGCTGAACACTTTTGTCAAAGTTCGTTCTACAGTCAGGTTGATTAGCAACGTTTTGATGTTTAGAATAGATCATTCTGTAGCGAGACAGATGAACGCTTTGCAACCCACAAAGCTTAGAAGAGATGCAAAATTCTTATAGTACCGATTGAGTGTTAGATGGCGGTTTAGTTCGGTGTAGAAGCGGCGATCATGAATACTGTGGGCTAACGAATTCAAACGATTTTGGTATATTTTGGCCTTAGGTGAGGTTGTTGCAAGTAGTCATGGCAACTTGATTGACGGAAACTGTTGTGTTGCACCAGACGGAGACACTAGATATTAGCTATGCAGTAAATGCAGAGAGAAACAAAATCCCAACTATGTAGCGTGCCACTCTGTACATGAAGGGCATCAAAATGTATGCATTTACTGACCTAGTGTAAGTCAGCAGAAAAGATGGGATTAGGTCCATTGTGTAACCAGGAGGAACCCCACTACCGTCGGCTACTCAAATCGCCCATTTGATGACCACCGCACATAACTATACTCTCACATTTGAGCGCAAACAGTATATTCGGTTTGTAAAACTCCACGCTGGGTGGTTGCCAATGCATCTGCCGTAGACAGTGAAAGAATGCTGCGCGTTTTTCATCTGCTCCATACGGTGCACAGAAATAGTGGGTCAGCTAAAAGTTTGTTTTTGCATCAGCCGAAAACAACGCGCTCTTAGCTCAATCTTGACTAAAGGCATTTTGTGAGCACCAACTTTACCTCGCTAACTAAACCAGATGTTGTCTCTACGCATGCCTATTTAGTTGCAATAAAAGAGGCATATCGATTGCAGCCCATAAAATAGTAGTGTTTGCTGCTGACATTGACAGTTACCCAGCTCAAGTACCCGACAAAAGAGATTCGTATCTTGTACTCCAAACCTACGTGAGATGTTTGGAAGATTTACGCGATTACATTGCTCCTAGCAGTTTATGTATGGAAGCCCTGTAGTCATTGTAATAGTATAGTTCCGCTGATTAAAGCAGATTGCACGTTTAAACAATCGACCTTCTGTTTCGGTAAGTTTGGAGCTAGTTTTGGCCTGCGACACAAGCACCCTTCTGATTATCACAAATAGCACTAGGCAAACAAATATTTTCATATTACTCGAACGGACGCATAAAAGAAATCAGTGACTAACAGGACAAGGCAATTTTTCTCAGGTCTGTTAAAACGATCGCTGGCTACATCGTGAAGCATTAATGTTAGTGCATCTCTCAATTGTAGTCAAGAAAGTGGGTAAACTTTGGTATCATAGCCAATCGTACTTATTTGGCTCGACTTTATGGTGTGATAGACAACGAAAAATGTGCCATAAGAATAACGTGTAGGGGAACCCCAATAGCAAAGAATGCGAATGTCACCGGTGTCACAACATTACAAGGTTAGTAATAAGATATCGTCACTGGGAAATAATAAGATGCGGAGCTTCGTTGCATATAATTTCATTGTCGCGAACGGCACAATGTGGGACACCCAGAAGGACTTTCTATATATCTGCAAAATTAACGTGTTCAAACGTTTAAGGATGGTAGCTGAATGTGGCGTGCTGACGGCGGGAACATACGTAAGACCAAGCAGCGATGCACAAAGGTATTCGACAATTAATCTGACTAGCAATTTGCATTAAATCAGTTATCCCGAACACGACATTATCTCTTAGATTGCTTGCAAGATGCTGATCTAGGCCAACCATTCCCAACGGCCATATAGCCCCCTGGGGGCCATAGAGAATTCCCGGGGGCCCTAGGATGAGAATATGTTTTTTAGTGGACTAAACATTCACTAAAACATTTTTCTGATAGTTTCTCTGAGCGCACTAATCTCCTCTGATAACTACCGGTCAGTGAAATGAATTACGCGTGCGCAAATGGCTGTTTACGTAGGTGTGAAGGCCAGACTGGGCAGACTTTCTGTTTCGGAGCCGGCATAGCTCCATCAATCTCGCGCAGAATTCACTGGACTCACCACAAACGGACAATCAACATACAGCGACCTAGACTGAGCAACTAACAACCGATTCGTCCTCAGGTATTTGATGCCTATCCACAGTGAACCAACTGAGCTTCACTAAGGACATTGATGCATCTACACTGCAAGCTGCAGTGAACCTAGCGAACTCTAGTCAGAATAAGTTGGCAGTTACCGCACAAAGCCACACTGACACTGAGCTTTCCGTGGGACGCTACCACGAGGTGACAACTTATGTGGCAGTCAGTTTACTTGTTCGAATCCCAGTGCGGTTGCGCTAGATTATGCGTTTTTAGTCTCCAGTCTCAGCTCGAGTGTACGTCTGGTGCCCAGGTCACGTTAGCCTGTAACGTTCCGAATGTCAGTAACTACACTGCGCGCTTGGGGTACTGTCTCTGAAAATCGTTAGTTCGTTCCGACCAAGAGTGGAACAGCTAGAACATTTTATACTGCTTTTTTAACCTACAATTCAGCTGACCTTTTAAAATTAATGAGCAGTTTTGTCAACATATGTCATACGTGTGGAGATACGGTTTCTTTGGTGAGTGTGACAAATGTTACCTGAGACTGAGACTGTATTTAAGAGCAAGTAGTAAGGTTTCTGTACAACTCTACCGAATTATGAAAAAGCAAAAACACTTAGTTGTGATTCATCAACAGTTGTGTCTGGTCCGTTAATCCTTTATCCTTGTTCGGTTAGGAATTGGTACTAGTGTCATTATTTCCGGGCATACAATGTCTTCTTTTGGCATTGTATGTGCATCGTTTCACAAAAGCACAGTTTTCCGAAATAATCGTCGATACGCGTTTTAAAACACTTCACAGAATCGGCCTCTCATAATCCTTCGGGTAGTGTATTCCATAAGTTTACTATTCTTCGTTCGATAATAAGCTAATGTGACAGTTCTCTTAACACTCATAAAAATCAAAGGCCTTGCCATCACACATTCTGCGCAATGTTTGGAGATCAAGCTTGCTCGAGGAAATCAGGCTCAAGGATCGCAGTAACATCTCGACAAACGTGACATGCCTTACAGTAAAAAGTAAACAATAAGTAAATGCAATAGTAACTATTAATTATGACTTTTGTGCAATTACGGACAAGGGGCCTAATGTTACCGCACGATGAATGACATGTTGAGGCTGTGAAATCTAAAAATGAGGTTTCTAATGAAAATAGTAGTGATACAAACATTAAATATATAGCCATCATAAAAAGATATGACCATTAGAAATCACAGATTTATGTGTGTCACGCGTTGTGGATTGCTGAAGTTGTGGTGCTCAAGGGTGGGGGACCATAAGAAATGAAAAGTTTTAAATGAGGACCAAGACTGGATAAAGGTGAAAAGTGCCTGATCTAGGCAACACAATTGTGTCACGTGCTCATCATGAGAAATTGTCTGTGCGTTTTTGTTGATGTGAGCACCCGGTTACCACAAACCATACTGTGCGCGTTACAGCAGCTGACTATAACGTACGGATACTAGCACGTTGAAAATCAGAGATCAGTTTTATTGGTGTGGCTTTATTGTGAACTCTGTTTTCAGCTGCTGTAATTGATCTCTCCCATTTATCTTCGCAAGCATTTATATAACGTCTGTAGATGCGGGTTCCTTCCTCTTCAACAAGATCTTTTTATCAAGCACCGCGGAGATATGCTAGTAGTTGAAGACCCATTCGACATTCTAGTTCTTGCGTGTTTAAAGGGATAAAGAAACATTATGTAGAGTAGAGAATCTCGAAGCTTTTACTAGTGTGAGCATTACCATAGAAGTAGTTGTTTCGAGGTTTGTGCGTTTTGTCAGTTTGTAACGATAGCGTTGTGCAATCGAATGGTGATTCTCGTGTCATATATAAAACCTAGTTTACAGCGAATAATATTCTCAGATTTCCTTTGTCGAGTTAGTACTACTGCGATTCCATAGCTACTAGATGTTGCAACTGATCTTCAGTTTGATCAAGGTGGATTGGGAATTCCTGGATCTGTGGTAATAAAAAATGAAATGGAAGAAACAGGCTTTCGATACACTGGCGTCGAGTTGGCCGTCCTAAGTATTTGAACAGTAAGGACAATGAATTATTTTTATTAAAAGCTTCTAGTGTTGTTGAAGCAAGCTCATCCCTGCTGATTGAAAGCAATACTGGTGTAAGTGCAATCATTGACTATTGTGCTTGTATGCCATATTTCTGCTCCTCATCGGTTTTAAGAACTGATGGTAACTATTTGTCTTTCATGGCAGATTCAACCAAGCGCTGCATTGCAGGGAGATAGCGGTTTATTTTCAGCCATTACTTAGTCTAATCAGTTTTTTAGATATTGTAGTGACAGTGAAAGGAGACGGTAATGTTTGGAATTAAGCTGATACCTGATATCTATGCCACCGGGAAGCATTGCTTGATGATTGCAGTCAATGATTTATTTCGGAAATTTGACGGCATCTCATACATGGTCATAAAATCTGAATTTGAAACTAGCAGTTGTGTTTTTCAGAATGGTCATCGCTCTGTTTTATTCTGTGGTAAATCCATCTAAGAGTCGATAAACGCGGTTTCAGGCGGAGACCTTTGGTTCCTAGTTAAAATGATAACGGACAAGGCAGGTGTGCAAGTGATCCACGTTTGAACCAGTATGAATTCACTGATCTTCCTGCTTTTGCTGTGTCATATTTATCTTAAGTCTGCTTTATCTGAAACGTTACGACTTGGCCGCAGCAAAATAAAGCTCAATAGACCTAGCTACCAAACTGAAAAATATATTCCTATGCACTATTCCCAAGGTTTTCGCAGTGTTAATGAGCGATCCCAAGGAAACATTTTACCATCTATCACATTTACCAACTCTTCCTTCTAACTATGAGGTAATCAGTGCGCCTAACGATCCATTTTGCATTTCAGTCCGCCATTGGCCTCACTTCATCCTCAGTTGGGGTCAACTGAAGGGCAGTTTGAGCAATCCATTTTCTGTGCTGGTAATCTTCGTTGGTGTCACCGCAATAGCACCTCATTTCCGAAGAATGCTCGCATGGCTGGCGGGTGTATTTGGCTCAAAGAATGCTACATTGTGAGAAAGGTGAGATGAGTTGAAACGGGAAAATCTCATCCTTCTCGGTGGTTTTCCTCGATCAAGGTAGCGATGACAAATGAACAGTGAAAACGAATAGTCTATGGACAACTGCTTCGGTTCCGCTGGATCTCGTGGATTGCCCTTACAATGTGCACATTCTACTTACATTTGACGGTCATAGTGATTCCATTAATTTTACTTACAACACTGTGTTATTTGCACGCCTCTTTCGTAAGAGACCGGCATGCATACAAAAGGATAGCAACTGCGCACCCGCACACACACAAATCAATGTCACGCCTTGGTTGTTTTTCAAGCAACCACCGCTCAGTATAACGTTAAAAGGTTATTTTTGTACTGGGACGAAGAGATTGCATCGATTAAATCGATCGACTATATTTTCCATAGTCTGAATGCCGTCCTACAATTACGACGTAGCGCTCACTAGGATCAATCGAGTAAATGAAACATGAGACTAACAATAGAAGAATTCTCATTTTTTCTAAGGGTGAAAATCAAACAGATAGGTATACGAAAAGGAAAGATTTTTACGGCGCCAGTTGATGAATTAGTAAACATGGACGGATATAATTGCTACAGCGTATAAGTTAGTACATATGCGGGAACAAGCCACGCACAGTGTATTGTCGCGTTATTCTCCTCTGGTCTTTTGCGGAGAACCGGACAAGATCGGTCACCTGAATTACACACTTACCGAAGTGTTGTGAGGTGCTGAGGACGATTACGACTACGTATGTATGGTATATCATTTTTTCGACTTTCGTTTGAGTTACGGGAACATTTCAGAATTCGAGGACATTTTAACAGCCTTCTAATCCTAACACCGCAACCGAAAGCCTCGTATTGGAGTGGTATTTTCTCCCAAAACAATAGTTATCCAAAACTCAAATGTAACACAGTGTGTACTCCGTTTAAGTAGGAACTAACTGGAGCAGCGCTCTCCTTCGCTTGAAAAAATTGTGAGGAAATCCCATGGCTTCACGATGTTTATGTCTCTGTGCTTTTCCAAATAATTATTTTTGGCTTCTTATAAACTGATAACAATTAACGCAGTTCTGCGACGGTAGTGGGGTTTGTTGCGAAGAAGTTGGCGATGACACTCAGTGAATTCTGACTATTCTCAGTTTTAAGTCTGAATCACAGTGAGTTAGAATCACTGTCCTTCTACTGAGCTTGATTTAGTAGTAGATTCACTCAAAAACTAAGGGCATATGGCATCAACCAAAGGGCTAACTGAAACATTTAGGCCTAAAATTGCCAAACATAGTGGTTCATTTTCTATCATGTAAACAAGCACCACAAACTCGGCAGCAGATATGGAAATCAGTGCAAGAAATCCGGTATGAGACAGAAGGAAGTGTTGGTATTAGCCGTGTATGTGCACCGCAGCCGATGGGATTTATTTTAGACTTAAACACTTAGTCTTCTCTAGCTGGTCTAAGCAGGTTTCCTCAAATGCTAGAAGCTTGGACGAGCACGATGCAATATCATTTCTAACGACAACTGGTTAACCTATTGTCGTTGCACGCTTTCCAATAACAAGCAGTATTTACCATCGTGGGATATTTCCATTGCTGGCACCGGAAGATCTCCACCGATTTCTTCCGGCACCCGTTTAATCCAGGTGAGCCGTAAACAGCCTGCAAAAACCCCATCTTATCCGATCGGCACTCTAAAAGTAAGAACTGTCTTCTGAGCTCTGAGGTATATCTCTGCGTTCCCACAAATTTTTTTAATTAATTCCAGTAGGTATGTTTCCAGCAACCAGCTCACGTCCACAGATAAGTCAACCATATGCCTCTGGCACTTAGATACAAAGGCCATTTGGACAGAAATGCGTCGATAAAGACAGTACTTAATTAACAGTGTCAGTACTTTGAATCGATCGGTACAAATTGTACGCGAATTTTCAGTGTGCGTATAATACTTTCAACCTGACCATCAGTCCAAGTCACATCTGCTTGAACAACTAACGGCCGACATACGACATTGGATGTAAAACCTTATCATATAGGTGATAGCCGCGAAAATCCTCAGATACTTGTGCGATGTTTCCGGTCACTTCGAAGTTGATAGCTTCGTAGCTATGCTCCTTCCGAAATAGGGAATCTGTTTTATTTTTATTAACTGATGCTTTGACTACTGTAGCCTTCAGCCAGGAATCCTATCGCTTGTTTATTGGCACAGAGTTTGAATAGATTCGACTTCAACATTCTTAGGACACCCGATTTCACATTTTTCACTATACTTGGAGGGTTCTCTAACAGGCGCCTTCATTATTCCGTGACTTCGTTCCGGCGGTCGTCGATCATCGTAATGCACTTGAATCAAGTGACTGCGTGCGAATGGGATGGTAGTAGTATAGGCTTCTTGCGTTATTGTTAGATGAAAAGTGTAGTAGTCCCTTGTTGGGAATTGGAGTGGGCAACGAGGATAACCAGTAGTTAAGACTCCTTCAAGAGTGGGATGCAAAGAACAAATGACCCTTTGCTAGCAATCGTATCCAAGTATATTTTGGTATGCTTTCAAATAAGCCTTCTTTATTAACATGTGTTTTCCAAGGATCATGGAAGAGGCTTGTGTGGATATCAGCCAGATAACTATGATCATCATAATCATCAACCGTAAGCTTGGAAGTGTTCCGCCTACACGAAATGAGACGAGTCTTTAAACGCATTGCGCAGCACAGATTGCATTAAACCTTTTGATTAATCACACAGAGGGACGATGATAGTTAAGCTCACATCTTCTTGAATCACGACATAAGACCGTTTATAGTTAGCAGGGGGTAGAATATGATCTGACAAGCAGGTCACGCATCACAATGGCTCGTTGGGAATGGTTACCAAAATGTGCCAACTGACCCAGTTAAGGAAATCCATGCCTGGATTCATAACGTATGCTGACATTTTGCTATGCGTGTAATGTAAGCATGTGGGCTATGGAAATGATTGCACTCAACCATGAGGATAAGATTGGCCTCTAAAAGGAAGAAAAGATCAATGACAAACTCCTATTTTATTCCAATTTACTTTGGTAACTAAATTATGCGTTTTTTGGACGTGCAGTTCACATGTCTGTCATCGAGTAAAACGAAATGACTATTTCGGAGCTGCTTTCTCCCAGCACTGTACTCTACGACAGACCGGTTTCATGCTGATTTAGACTAGTCATGTGAAGACAGATTGGGCTGAAAGGAGAGTCCAACACAGCGATTGACGGTTCTCGTCTTGGTCGCCAGGCCAGAGCTTCATGGCATCGCTTGACGCAGCGATCAGAAGTTCAGTATTGGTCTTGGAGTACCCGTAGTGTGTCTGGATTGCGACATGCAATCTCAACTGTGGCCTCGGTTACCTTTGTAATCAGTCTATACTAATGCGATCACTGGGACCGCATCCGAAGTGTAGAGTTTCGGAGCTGTTGTCTCCCGACACCGCACTTCATGGCCGACCGGTTTCCCCCTAATCTGGAATAGTCAGGCTAGAATGCGATGTTGGGGGAGAGTGTAGCTTCGAAATTCGCCACTTCGTGTGCGGTCCCAGTGATCGAAAACACATGGGTTTGCTTCAGAAGAAACTGCAGTCTCAATTGGGTTAGCTTGTGGGAACCCAATCACAAGGCGAGTACTCCAAGACCCGATAATAAAAATTGCGTATTTGATCATCGCTTGCACTATGCAATAGTGTGAATGTCTGCTGTTTCACTTGACACTGTTGGTTCAACCTGTTCTGTAGTACGTAAGTTGTAGGACTCAACACACCTATAACCCTTCTCTTCGTACTGTTTCACATGGGACTCATTCTCACCTTCATCTCTCATCATTCCTTCATCCCACGAAAGGTGTCTACTTATTGAATACTGAATACTGAACACGGTATTATAGAGCAAGTAGAAATGGATTCTGTACAACTCTTTCGAGATATGGCGAAAAACGTTATAAAAGTTGTCAACCTTAAATATCATTGTCGTTCTCATGTAATATTTAAAATATTCGACTTACAATATTTCAGGATTCACAAATGTGATGTCATCGTAAGTGTGCAGTCGTTCTCTGAATCGAATAGAGGCAAAATGCAAATCTAACAACGTTTTGAACTGTTGCACCGATGTTGCCTCAATGACATGTTCGGGCAAACTATTCCAAATGTTTACCACTCTCCGTTCGAAGCACAGTGGGTGGGGAACACGTTTCATATCCGGCACAACAAGTTTGTATCTGTGTCCGCGTGTGCTGCATGGCCCTCGTAAGTGAAGCATTGGCCTTAGCAGTGGGGAGTCACCGAGATGTAGAATTCGGTAGGTCATTATGAGGTCGACTCTCACCCGACGGTAGGACAAGGTGTAGAGTCCTAGTTTCTCGCACCGGTCTTCATACCCAAAGCCACGGAAACTCGGGATCAGCCTGGTAGCAACGTGTTGGACCCGTTCGATCTTTTGTGCCTCGCCTCGGGTAATCGGAAAGTAGGCGGGCGAACCGTACTCTAGCATTGGTCTAATGATAGAAGAGAACAGGCGAGTGGCAACCTCTTCAGACCATGTGCAGAAGCTACGTTTGAGCGCCCAAAGCATGCGCAGTCCGTTCCGATGTAGCCTGTTCGTGTTGTCCACGGACTTCAAATCGTAGCGTGAGAGTACACCTAGGTCCTTCACGGAATGTGTGGGATATAGCGTTTGGCCGTCAATGGTGTAGTTTCGGCCGTTAGCACCCTTCCCCAGGCTCATAAATACCGACTTGGCTGGGTTGACCGGGAGAAGAACTTCTTCAGACCATGTGGATAAGCGGTTTAGATCTTGCTGAAGTAGGCCACAGTCATCGGGAGCGTCGATTTCTCTCCAAATCTTCATGTCGTCCGCAAACAAGGCACACGGCGACCGGAGAAGCTGCGGTAGATCGTTGATGTGGATCAGGAACAGAGTGGGCCCCAGCACAGTGCCTTGAGGCACGCCACTTGTAGAGGGGTACCAGTCAGTTAGATGGTCGTCGACCTGTACCCTCCACTTTCTTCCAACAAGAAAGTCGCGGATCCACCGGTGCAGTGAGCCACCGACGCCACACATGCTGAGTTTGTGAAGGAGAACCTCATGACTGACCTTGTCGAACGCTTTACTGAAATCGATGAATATCACGTCGACGGACTTCCCCTTGTTTATTGCCTTCAACCACTCATGCCTCGTCACAAGCAGGTTCGTAATGCATGAGCGACCTTGCATAAAACCGTGCTGTGCGGGCGTCAGGACCTCGTTTGACTGTAGCAACTGCAGCAATCTCTTTTTCACGAGTTTCTCAGCAACCATTGCCAATATAGGTGTCAGACAAATTGGCCTGTAATTGTCTACTTTGCTAGGGTCGCCGCCTTTCGGAATAGGCTTCACCACCGCACATTTCCAGTCAACCGGCAACAAACCTTCGGAGAGCGACCTGTTGAAAAGGTCAGTCACGATAGGAGAGAGGATGGTTGAAAGTGACTTGAGAACCAGTGGGTGAAGCCCATCAGGTCCGGCAGGTTTGGTGCCGTCAAGGTTGGCGAGTAGTTGAGCTACCTCTTCGACGCTGCAATGCAGACTATGGAGTTCGGTAAAAGCGGTACACGTCGAACTCGGAACAGACACCTGGTTATTCGCAAATACAGAAGCGAAGTGCACCGCCAACGCGGACGCACGCTCAGAGCTGGAGGTGAGGGGCTGTCCATCCGTGCCATCCAGCACTGGCACATCACCCGCCGGCTTCAGGCGTCGCTTCACGTATGCAAAGATTCTCTTTGGGGCGGTCTTCGCGGCTAATGCGAGCTGCTCTTCAAAGTGTCGGCGTTTATTCTTTTTTGCACTGTTGCAGAGATTCCGCTGACATTTGTACCCTTCGTAATCATTGGCAGAGCCAGAGAGAAGGAATTTGTCCCACAGTCTGCACCGCCTCCGAGCCAGGTTTCCATACTCCTTATCAAACCAATGAGGCTTAATCGGTCCAACCTTTCGACATTTCAATGGCACAAATTTGGAACACAAGGATGTTAATCTCTCTTTTATACATATCCAACAATCTTCCACAGATGCAGTTTGTGACAGAGACCAATCCAGTTGACTCGCGGCTCGAGCAAGACCATCGAAGTCCTTTTTCCAGTAGTTGGGAGCTGGTTGCAGCGGATGTGAACACGGCAAAGATAATTCCATATCAGCTATCAGTACTGAGTGGTCGCTCGTAGCCAGGGGCTCCAGGATCCTAACGTCACGCACTCGTTGTTCGTAGCTCGTTAACATCAGGTCGAGACAGGACGAAGTTGAACGTGTTGATATGCGTGTTGGCTGGCATATGTGTTGCGATGCACCAGTTTCAAGTACCAAATCCACGAACTTTGCTTCAACCTCACTATGTCCAGGCATCAAATGCACATCAGGCCATCGTATTCGAGGACAGTTAAAATCGCCCATAAGCAGAAAGTGTGGACGACTCATGTGGGTCCGAAGATGGGGCAGCCAATCCAAACAACGACTCAGGGGACTGCGATAAACTGCGCCCACAAGCAGTTCTCCGCGCCTGAGGCGGATGGAGCACCACAGTAGCTCACACAGGCCATCGTCACTTCGGTAGGTGCCCACAAATTTCCCACGCAGGGAAGACCGGATGTAAAGTAAGACACCACCGTGGGCATTCTTTAGTCTATCGCATCGGAAACACGAGTAACCGTTGAGTTCAAGTTCTTGGGTGTATAACTCTGCATGCAGCCATGTCTCTGCGAGTCCCACTTCGTCTGGCCGCTCAGACGCAACGAAACAACAAAGCTCATCGCGCTGATTCATAATACTGCAAACTTTTGTGAAGGCTACTCGCAGGCCACAGCAGAAGCTACCAGGCGTGCTTGAAGTGTGAGCGGCCTGTTTTTCCTGATTCGCAGGTTGTTGAAAAACACCCGAAAATTAACGATACGAAGATTTGTTTCCCCCTCACCGGTGCGTCTTTTCAACTCATTGATGGCAGACTTGAGCCGCTCCCTGTCTACTGGGTCAAGGTCGGGACAACCATGGATCTTCAAACCTTTCAGCCTACTTAAGCGAGACATGATCATTCTTGGACTGGCTTCGTCCACAAAAGTGATTCTCATAGGCCGATTTTGTTGATCACCTTGCTTTCCAAGACGGGTTATCTCCCTCACTTTTACCGAGTCCTCACCAGCGTCGAAGAGTCTATCAATTAGACCCTGTAAATACTCGACATCTTGATCGTAGCGCATTTGGGGTGATGGATCACCGGACTCCGGTGCGTGAAAGATCACGAGATTATAACGCCTCTGGTAGGACGAGGTTGGCCTTGCAGGGCGAAGTATACTACCAGCCTCAAGTGGTTTGGCTAAGTGTTGACTTTCAGAAGTTAAACGCCCAACGTTCCTTCGTAATTTCGTCCTCTGATCTTTCCACTGGTCTTCAGCACTCAGACTTTCACCTGCTGGCACATCAGTGTCCGGTGGACACAACAAAGGTAAACAATTTAGCCCAGGTGCAACTGGGCTTCTCACAACGGTTGGACTTCGTGTCAGTGAGTTTGCACGGGTAGAGGAGGACGACTGAGCCGAAACCTGAAGGCTCTTCGCGCTAGGTTGTTGGGCCAAACACACGGAGCTGTTCGCAACGAAACGCTGAGGACTACACGTCGGCTTTACTCTTTCTGGCTGTATCTGATTTCGGCAATTTTCACATATAGTTTGGACGAAATCGTGTTGGATCTCGCGAAGGCGATGAAAATGCTCAACTGATAAGCCAACACATGAAATATGGTATTTAACTTGGCAAAATGCACACGTGAGGGCATTTGCACGGTATCCGACTAGTTTGGAGCAAGTACCACAGGATGACTGCTTCGGCATTGCGAATAATCCGAAAACAAGATGGCGGCCAATTGACGAAGAAAGTGGCGATAGCAAGATCGCCGAAACCAAACGATGAAATACAAGTATTTCTGGTCGGAAATTTCAGAATCGGAAATGAACCTGAATTGTAGCTCAATTTCCACGAAATACTTCCAATGAACGCAGAAAGATAACACAAAGTGATCTTGTCAACACAGCCAAAAATAACCGTCTGTCATTTATGCACAGTCACCATTCCTTCAAGTCTCAAGTTCTCTGCATCTTGGCACTACCAACTAACTACGGTTGTTAACAGGTTTGATTGTATTTTGGTGCTTATTACATCACCTCTAAACAACTTTACGCCACAATGCAGCTGACCTGCGTCCAGATGTTCTCCACGGGTACTGTGTCCAGTGCACACAAGACTGCGTGTACCAGCTCTGTGCACATGAGTGCGTTTCGTTTTTAAAAGCAATGTAAACGACTAGGTGCACTTAGCATTCAGTTGATCTGAAGGTTCTGGGAATTCAAAAGGTCCCTTTAGTTGAAAAAATTATAAACAAATTAGGATATGATGTAGACGGTCCGAGGTCTCAGACCAATTAAACATAATCAAATAACTTCCCAAAACGGAACTCCAGACAGCTTCAATATATTTGCGTGAATTCTCACGGCTCGCACAGGAAATGAGGCAAAACATAAGAACTTATAGAATATAATAACTTCCTTTGGATCCTCCACTCTGTTTTCTACTATGCTCAGTTTTGTCAGTGAAACTCAACTGAATGTTTCCTATGGAAGGCTCAATGCTACTGCCTTGCGATGTGCTTGTTCAATGTGATTATCCTTGTTACAACTAATACCGCACTTCATGATCCGTCCAATGTGCAGCACATGGCTTGTATTGGAAGTTGGTGCAAAGTGTATTGAGCGTGTTATGACAACCTCCCCACATAGATGATTTCAGTCTATCCCAGGATGTTGTCTGATGCTTTTCCATGCTTGCATTCCCCCTATAGAGAAAGCTATCTATAGTGTCCTTTATTGAGATAAACAAGAATCCGGTTGCTTCAACGTTGAAATTAGCAACGGAATCCTAGTCAAACGAGTACTTGCGCAGAAACCCAGTATTTTATCCGTAGAAGTGAACTCATTGCCGTAGCTGTCATCTCTATGAAACGTATGAACGAAAGTTCGATTTTGCACAAGTTGACGTAAGTAATTCAACAATAGCTGCTAAAAAATTTTGTATGAGTGCAGATCTGGTTTGGGAAGGCTTGAACATAAGGTGCAATCTTACAAGGGGTAGAAGATCAGGAGGCTCTAGGTCATGATGAGTGCAAATGTCACAGACCACAGGAAATGAATTTGAGTGCGGTAGACCACATTGATAGTTGATGAAAATAAAGTTGCTCTAATGTGTTGACATCAGCGAAAATCCGAAATACTAATAACAATGAACAACTGCGACTATGTACTCAAGCACAGGAATGTGTGACGAAAGGTTGCAACTCTCCGTGGTGGGAAAATCCACAAAGGAAACTCGCGGGAGTGCATTCGAAATTATTGTCCCGAAACGGTTCCTTTTGCTAATCGCTGATCGAGGTTAATCCGCTGGATTAATCAACGACCAGGGATATCGCAAAAATGTGGTGATGGTTGCTCGTCCTCTCCAAGGTAGGACGGATCGAGTGCTATCAATCCATTGACACCAGTATGATAGACCTGGTCGATCAGTGCGCGATGGAGGTGTGAACAGGTATACATCGGAGATCCCGCCCAACTGGTCAAGTAGCCGCGGCCATTGTCTAATGTGTGACGACGCAGATGTGAATACGACAAAAATAGCGGCAACACAAAACGGGTTCCTCAGGGCATTTCGAATGAGACTCCAGCAAATAGCAATGTGTAGTCCTCGATCAGCTGAAAGTTGAAAAGAGTGCAGGTTCGTTTATGCGATAAATATGAGGAAGGACACGATAGATAAGCTCCTTGGTGCAAAATGGTCCACTTTTAAAGTAAACTCACTTGATACGACATCTGTTTGTGGAATGTGACTGACGTTATTCACGTTAACCCTGTCACCACGTGTTGTTTACCTATTCATATGCGCTGGCTGCGCAATCCCGGTTGCTTACTTGTTGTATCTCAATAGATTGCTACACAATGTCCAAACTTCCAGACCATTTACGTGTTCTCTAATGGTACAAATAATGTAGCAACAAGCATAAACACTTTAGAACCAATGAACTAATTGATACTTAGTTTCTGACAGCAACCTAGTTAAATAACTGCGATAGAATATTGATGTGACCACCTGAATCGTCTCGTAAGCAACGATAAAACGAACTGCAGTCAGTTCAATCATTAAAGCCATTATCAGAGGCTGGTGCAGTAGCATCACCGTGTTTATTGGCCATTGGACGAGCTCGACACAAATCATTTGAACTAAATGTTGATCATTCCATGGTACCTGTGCTAGGAAAACACTACTGGCACTAATCGTAAGCATTTGTCAAGAAATCAATGGTTCATAATTACGCGACCCATAATTTTTCTCAAATCTTATCAGGTAGTTAAAATCACGGAGCAAAAGTACAAAATCGACTGTCTGTTGAAAACTAGGTCTAACACGGGAGGACTGTAAGAGCGATACAACCTATTGACTTAGCATAGCTGGGCATCGATAAAATTATTAGCTAGACGGACTAAGCTGTTTGGATAAAGCACACTTACGGTTGATGGCAGAAAAGCGATGAAAAACGCTGGTCGCTTGTCGCTTGTCGCAATGACGATAATCAAGCCATGCCGGAACATGATCATAATCCAATGCAAGATCAGGGCGTTCACGGAAGTTCGTTGTTCGCTCATTTCTGGTCTCAAAACACCGATTACGATGATTTTAGATGTGATAGAAAGATGGAACTTGGGCCTTTAGAAATAGCGCTTTTGAGTGGTGCAAACAAATGATACATTTCACCGAATCTTGTAATTTTTAAACCAAAGTTAAAAAGTAGAACCATAAATGTTTCCTATAGCGCTTTTTTATTTCGATCCGTTTGAACAAACGCTTAGTACAAAACACCACAAGTACATGTGAACGGACGTAAGATGAATATTTGAACCGGAACCGAACCTTATATTTCAGGTGGCGAGAACTAAGAGAGCTATTTTCGATAAACAATTTTGAATTGACAGTTTTCAATAACCATTCAGTTTTCTAATTTTATCGTTTTAAATGTCAACTGTGATTTAACGCAAAAGACGTCGTTCGCGCAACTGCGAACCAAAAGTACGAAAAGTTTTGTTGTGATTAACGGGGTAACGTGGTTCGCTACATAATTTTCAGGATGTACATATATGTTGTATCTCGTAATGTGTTAATACTGTCTTAAGATATATATCACAGCCTTAAGAAGACATAGAGTCATTTGCATCTACAGAAAAACTAACAACAAATAAAAATGGAAACCAGAATGGTACAAAATGACGCCAATTTGTCCGACATGGAGGGAAAGTTGCACCGTATAAAGAAGTAGACTAGAACCAGGAATGTTGTCAGTTGACATGAATCAATCGTAGAAAAATTAATGGTTTCATTTCCACTGTCATGCGCTCATGATTGCCTTTCGCGTCCCTGTTGAAGTTGACCTGTCAACCTTTTTCAGTGGGATATGAGCGGATCGAGCTCAGCCTGCACTAATGGACTAGACATACTAAGTATCCTCCTCGGCAAGGTTTATTGGAGAGGCCAAGTTAAATATGATCAATAGTCTCTTGTCTTCCGTGAAACCAAAATCACCCCACCCCAGCTCAGGTTATATCCAGCTGATGAGTTCGAACGAGGAGGAAACCATTCATGGGGTGTTAATGTTGAGAGGAGCAACTCCGAAATAACTCAACTAAATTCACCCATTCCATGTAAGTGCAGCCGTTTATTTTGATCTATGACGCAAGACACAGTCACATGTCCTGGAAATGTTTTATCGTTGCATCAGTACTCGAATCGTCTAAGTGCATACAGTAGTTTTCTGGTCTGGTTCGTGCTATTTCCTAGACAAACTTCACTGAATTCCCCAAAACCACATCATCTAGGCACAAAACCTGCTGGATGCAGTCAAGATTTCCCACATATTATGTGTAAGCCAAAGGCCTGAATTTATCACTAGATGATCGAAAGTGAGTAGTGGGTCAAGCCGATTACAAAACCATACTAACCGAAAAAGAAATGGAAATTACGACTATCTTTGTAAAAGATATACAAAAAAACAACGCAGTTGTTTAACCTTGCTCATACTACTGAGTTGCATGTGTTATTCTTAGCTATAACTTATCAACTTGTCCGTTTATTGAGACTAAGTGGGAGTGAGCGTTGTTAAGACCAACAATTGGTCATCCATCGTGAAGATTTTAATGAACGAACGTTATGCTTTTACTGAAAATACTCCAAGTTCTTTGATCTGTGGCTTCCGATAAGGACAGTGTATGTCCATAAGATATCACAAGGTTAAATGGATACGCCCTGTAACTTTGAACACCCGAATAGAAACATACGGAAACAACGATGCCAACTGCAGTTCTTTTCCCTAATCCGTTTAAAGAAATTGCGTACAATGATATTATGATATGCATCTTGTCTAGTGCCTTGCAGCTGATTAAAACTGGTTGCCGTTTGACGGTAACTCAGCGATACCGATACTGTGTACAGGCCCAAAATTGGACACCGGCGGCGGTATCAATCGGTGGTGATTTAAGGCAGCAAATGAAGCCAACTCTACTGTGTAGCAAGCTAAACAACGTGTGACGGACCTGCAACCACAGGAGTAAATTGACCATTAAACTAGCAAGCCAGTGTTTATTCCAAAGGATGAACAGATGCCCGGTAAGAATACACAATCTGGGTTCACTCGGGGTCGGTCAGTATGCATGCGCCATCACACTGAAGGCTTTACTTCTACACCATCCGGCTCTAAGAGGTATGTATTTTTAGCCAAGATTAGCGATTCATTGTAGGGTTCTTTTAAATTACTCGTTGTTGTATTGGATTGTGTCATGCAATCACCACATGGGTTTCGTTCATCATCCAGTAGCGTACTACGTAAATATTGACTCCCTAGGAAGACAGCGTCTTTGACACCAAATAATTGTAAGTTGAGCAACACTGTATTTCTTCCAGGCATACGAGCAACGCAACCAGTGTATACCAGCGTAACAATATAATCACAAAGGGACGCCTTCATTCAAGCATCACCAGTGTCATCCATCGACCGGGTCGCAGGCATCTGTTCCGTTGTCATGAAAACCACCTAAATGTTGTAATATTCCCACATATACCTGAGAGTTTTAACCGGGGCAAGTGCTCATGCGGGATGATGGACGTTTGTACTTGCACTGGTAGGTTTTTGTAAGGAGAGGTCATCTCTCAGATGTTTTGAACTTCCCTTAAGATGCTGATGGATAATGTTGTTAGCGCAGCTTTTGGGTTTGCTAACTAAAGTACCACTGAAATATCCAACTGTTATTTCAGTTTGAGGCTACTTCTGTCAAGGCCGTGTCGGAACATTGAAAATCTCGAGGGGAACTAAATAATGTCTGCGCAGTGTTTGGGAACTATAATCACCTTTACGATGGCATCAATGGTCATTTCTGCATCAACACATAAACGTGTAATCACAGATTTGGGATTCCCCCATTTTCCATCATGAATACAGCCGGTTTTTGTCACAAATCTTTTGTTCACTTGTCTGAATCAAGGATAAGCAAGAACCGCGCACGTACCTAGACCACAGCTGTCATCCTGATAAACGAAATTCCAAAAGATAGAGCCAATGTTTCTCTAAGGCATAATATTGTTGACGTCACAAACTTCTTCTTTTGACTATGACCAATTTCTGTAAGGTCCAAACATTTCCCCCTATCGGATGGACCCATTAATTCGAAAAAATCTATTTTGGGGGTGAGCGGGCAGGTAACGAAGGTAAAGCATGTGATGCTGCTCTATTTGTGTATTTGTGTAGTATATAAATGCTTATTGTCAAATGTTCACATGCAAATGTGCAAAATGGAATGGAACCGTCGCTAAATACACCCTCCTAGTCTCAGTTTATTTGACAGAGCGAGAGTTAGTCGTGCAAATATCGGTTTACATAAACTATTGCCCGTTCTTCTACATCACCTTGTGTAAATTAAAACTACTACTACGGCTTCAGATATGTCAACATCTGCTTCACAAAGTGTTATTTCGTACGATACAAAGAAGGAAATACTCCATAATTCAGAATTCTTGTGTGTTAGTTACAGGCCTTCGGCTTCCTGATTTTGTCAGCAATGTTTCTATTACAAGGGTGAAAATACACGACTAACTTTTAGTAGGTTTTGATCCTGCTTCACGGAATCGGTAGGTATATTTTGGCTTCTTAAATTCCAGTTCGGGTGGTTTAAGTGAACTTGGTATAAGTTGCAACCAGAAAGTATGGTATCGGTCCCGTAGTATTTGTTTACATGTAGCCAGAACTGCAATCGGTTGTTTCGCATTACAAACCGCACGGTTTTTGTTTTATGTGATCCAATACACACAACTCCGAGTGGGTTTCGTACAGAAGTAACAAAGTGAAAAGCTTGTGTTTCACGAAATTGTTCGTCCATCCTTCAATCTGCTTCAGCTCATATATCCCAAGCTGGATCATATGATTGGGTCCCAATCGCGTTTCGATTTGCTTGGCTTCCAATATAACTCATTGCGAAACTCAAGCCAACACTGTATGCGTCGGACATTTTTAAGCCTAAATTAACAATATTTAAATATTTTGGCTGACAATTATGACATCAACTAAGAGTAGTAGGAGGAGCTGAATGGTATACGTAGCAATTCAACACATCAGAACTCACTCGGACAGCCATCACACGCACGGAAAAGCACCGTA